AAATAAATTTTTTATTATTATTATTTTGTGTATGTGTGTACCGTCAAATCAGATCTGACTGGTACAGCAGGAGATTGCCCCTCCTTCTCCAGCAGAGCGTCTGGTGGATTTGAACCACGTACCTCTGGGATTGCAGTGCAGCTTCTTGCCACTAGGCCACCAGAGCTCCCTATTTATATACATATATATCTTTTAAGACTTAATATTTATAATAGCAGACGGCCCCATCTTTTTCTCATGGAGTGGCTGGTGAGTTTGAACCATTCACCTTTTGGTTGGAAGATGAGTACTTAACCCCTGTACCACCAGGGCTCCTCAGAAAGAGATCCATGAGCTCGTGCTCCACAATCCCCACAGTGGACACAGCAGCAGCCAAAAACAACCCGGGAAGGAAGGCCATCCCTCCAGGTGCAGCCTTGAACCACCCACCTTCTACCCACCAGACGCATGCCCACTTCCACCATTCTCCAGTGGTGTTATTTTCAACACCCATGAAGCAGCTAAAAATGAGCCTTTTTTTTTTTTTTTTGCATGGGGATGTGTGGCTGACTCACTCTGCTGCCTTTGACTTGTGGAGGTTTTGTTTCCAACCTTCATGCTGTCTAGCCAAAGGTTTTCTAGTTATATTTGCTCCAAACCTGATGGCCTGGCTGAGGGCTGAGTGAGTCAGAGCATGGAAGCGGGGCGCCCATCCGGGGAAGGAAACAATAGGCATAAAAAAGAAGCAAAGAAAACAAGCCCCCCGAGAAGGTGGGCGGCCAGGGGAAAGTATGGTGACTCAGGGAGTGGACCGGAGGTCGCTTTCCTGCCTCTGCCTTTCCGAGGACATGGAGTGGGCGCTGGCGAGGAACCTGACACCCGTGGCACTAACAGCAGCTCTGGGTGGGGGTCGCGTCTCCTGGTATCCCTGGACCACTAAACACCAACGTTATTTTGAAGACTTCGCCATTCCCATAGCACGCTTACCAAGCACTTTTCTCATCCTGATTATTAGCTTCCCCACATCCTCTTGACATTTAGAGATCTTTTAATGTGCTTAAAAGCTTTTTGCTATCAAAACAGGCCACTCTAAGCCTCAGATGTGGTGACGGCTTCCACTGGCCGCCAGGCCCACCTTGTCTCTGTGGAAGGCTAGAAGCTCAGGGCAAACCGCCTAAGCCTGAGGATAAAGCTGATAGCCCAACCGGATGTCTCTATTTAAAAAAATTTTTAAAAATCCACAAGCATTTTTCAGTTTATTCCCATGCTGGGAAAATGCTGCATGAGCCAGGGTGGGGAGGGGCGAGCAGACAGGCCTGTCAACATGGAAAGTGTGACTCGCCTCCTCTTGTGGGTTTTGAGGCTGTAAAAGACGGGGAGGGATCTCAGTCCCTTGGAGACGTAATGCACCAAGAATAGCAAGGACAGCGACCAGGAAACTCCGGGAGAGTCCCGTGGTCCCAGGCTAAGATTTTCAAAAGAGGATCCAAGTACAAGAAGGAGTGACTCTTATTTGGTAGGTTCACTGTTGAGCATCAAATATACCTCCCAGAATCCAAGCTCACTGATGGTGAACGGGAAGTGACTCCCAGCTGACCCTCCGTTGGGTTTCTGAGGCTGTAAGTCACATGGAAGGAGAGTGCTGGTCTTTCTCCCACAGAGCTACTCCCGCTAGTGAACTTCAACTATCAGAGAGGTGCTCCTTGGGTTAGCAGTACTGCCCAACTGCCTAGGCTGAGTCCCAGAGTAGTGCAAATGGTAATAATGGACTTTTGCTGCTAC